AAAAAAGAATAAAATAGAAAATTTTGCATATTTCCCGAAAGGATGCATTTTTCTCGAAAAACGACACCTCTCGAGTATTTCGTATTTTTCGACCGGAAAGAAGCTTTTGCTAAGGCTAAAAAGTAGATATTCATGATCAGCAGATAAAAATCTATCAGAAGATGTGAAAAAAACGCGAGAAAAAAATTTTTACTGAAAATTCGCTTTGCCGGCACCTTACTAATAAAAATAGAATTTGTTTTTAAAAGTCACATCAGAGTTCATTCACAAAATATATCTTTCATTCTCTCACTATAGATTGAATAATATCAAAAGTGTAATGACGGGATCAGACAATACGGATCTCGAGACATAATTATAAGAAAAAAAAAAAGTGATAGTCCGATTAACTGTCACAGCATGAGTGGATATGATGTAAATCAAATCAACTTTTCATTAACATATTTATCGTAGTGATAAGTTTTCTGAAGTAGAACGGTGTATTGATAGCTCATGTGTATGAAGAGTAGAGTCTGTCGGATACGAAATTTCTGACACGATCGAGCCGTATTTTGATACTTTCAATGAAATTTTCTAACCGGAATTGGTTAGTCACTCCGAAATACTTTTTTTTTTGTATTCAAAGACAAGCGCACCCTACACGTTTTATAAACGATTAGAGCCCGCCGGATTCGAGATCAACCCGACAAACTCTGTATCAAACCGTTCTTCTGTCTATTGCTATAGTTTGATTTTTTCTGAAGGTTATTAAGTGTAGTAAAATTATCGGGCTGATCGAAATTGTCTTGGCCATGATAGTCGAAACGTTCGTTTATTTTGTGTAACGAGATATATAAAAGTATACTTATTTCATACCTTGGTTACAGTTTAAACTTTGATGAGACTTCGAGTTCTTCATTATTATAACGTATACATTAATATGCTTACTTACTTCTCAATTACAGATGAAATCCATTTGTTGAATTACAAAGGTTTCACAGAAAAGAAAAAACTAAAATATGTTCGTTATTTTTCTACTAATAAGATGTTGGTGTTTATTATTCTTCGATTTTATTTTACTTTTATAATAAACAAAACTTTCTTCAACATAATAAATATATTACCTGATGAATAATATTCATCATTAATATGATTTTTTGTTTGAGCTGTTGTTCGTACACATGTTTGATCAATAATATGAATAAGTCGATTAATATGTGCATTTTTTTCTTCAACAATTTTATCTAATTGTCGTTGAAATTCATTTTCAAGAAAATGATATTGATTTTCAAGAAGAAGAATTTTTTCACGAAGATAATGTACATCACGATGAGAATAATTTATTCTTTCACGTATTTGCTATTAAAAAAAAAAAAAAGAAGATTTCATTTTATATTTATAATATATAGAAATAATAAAATTAAATATTCAATTCTTTCAAAGATATTTTATTATATTTATCATAAATAATGATCATTATTTTTAAGATCAATTATTATCGATGAGAAAATTCATCTTGATAAATATTTCAAAAATTTAAATGTAATTGATCTCAACAAAAAATATTAACAAGATACTTACATGTAGACAACACCATGTATATAGCATGGGAATGATATCTTACAAGCGCTGAATGAATGTAATAACAATATATAGAATACATATGTAAGAAATTAAATCTCATTCCCACACACATACAAATACTTAAGAAATATAGTCACAAAAAATATTAATTATCATTTTAAATGCACAAAAAACACACTATTTATAACCTATTTTTTTAAAGAAAATTTAATTTACGATATGTTAGGATTCATATGAAGATTATTTAGAATTTTACTATTATGCAGTATTCCTTTTTTGTTTTTAATTATACAGTTTTTTAATCAACTGACATATTTGTCAACAGAACGAAAAAAAAAAGTCTAAATTTAACATCTATTGGTTATCGTATTTAATAAATAGTGATCCATATTGCTTATTCAAAAAGTCAAATGTGTATTAACAGAAATTATTTTAAACATAATTCTTTTTAAATCGTAAACATTGAATAACTCATATCTCTATTAATAAATTCATTTGAATATAGAAATAAACAAACCTTTAATCCTTCGGAAAAATCTTTATCATCTATATTAAGATCTTGTAATAAATATCTAAAACGTTGTAAAATAGAAATCATTGTTTGTCCTTTTAACCATAATTTCATAATAATTTCACGTTCTTGTCCTTCATGTAAATGATAATCACGTTCAATTGCATTCATAACATCTTGATAAGAAAGAAGATTCTACAAATAACATTAAAAATAATATTTAAAATATAAAACTTATTATTTTCAAAAGAATTTTTTACTTTTAAATTAAAAGATGCTGTAACCGCAACAACTTGATTTGTTTCTAATGAACGATTTAGTCGTGAATCTTGATGTGATTGAGATGCAATTGGATTTTGTTGAACTAAATTTTCTGTCATATTTCTATTTTTAATATGTATTCTTAATTCTTCATAATGTTCATTTATAATCTATATAAAAATAATAAATTCTTTTTTGTGAATAAATCATTTTCTTTTTTTTTACTATTTCTTACGTCTTGTGATGATGTATGTTGATTGGCAATGAGTTTTTCTGCGGTATGATTAGCTTCAGTTATTCTATCTGTTTGTTTTATTAATTCAGTATCTTGATCATGATTATTAAAAACCTCAAAGAAAATAAATATAACCAACCTTGACAATCTCGAACATCTTACTTTATTCATTCGTTTTTTCTTTTTCGTCTGTTCTCTTAATAAACAAATCAAAACAACAAAAGAAATGATGTATGTATGTATATAAACAGAGACTATAAGCAAACAAAAATCGAAACATACACATACACAAGACGAAAAAAATTGAAAGAAATAAAAATTTCTATACCTTTTTGTTAATGTTGTTCGTTTGAATATGTTGAAGCTAAAACGTAGCAAATTACAGAATAATTAACGTTCGGAGAAACACTTTAGATAAACTCTCTGTATTGGCTTCTTCATACTAAAAGACATTATCGAGAATTTTGAATCGATAGAAACGGTCTCTTTTGCTGTTTTTTTTTTTTGCATAGCCTCACATTTTCTTACAGACTGATATTAAGAGAAGAAGAAGAAGAAGAGAAAAAAAAACAAAAATCATCAACATGCATAGACATTATTATTTGTCCATTTAGACATTCTCTATGTAGAAGAAAAATGACAATATATTATTCAAATGAAAGGTTGCTGTTCGATATAAGAGACTCAAAGTAGATGATAAGAAAAAACAACAATATACATATAAGAATAGAAATAATATGCAGACACTTAGAAATGAAATCGTTTAAAAGATTATATAATACTTTAAATGAATATTGAATTCTTAAGCGAAATTTTTTTTCTCAATGATTTCTTAAGTGAAATTTACTTAAATATGCAATAATAGAAACTATACAGAGTAATCTTAATACTTATTCATAAGATATTTCAATATTATTTAGAATTTGATCATATCTTATATAAATTAATAAAAATGTTGATTCATCTTAAGCAATGAATAATATTCACAAAGACTTATTTAACAGATTTATAATATACATATCAACTCATACATAAAAATTCTGTATGTTGCAAAATATATAAAAGAAAGTTCATGTTTTATCACAATATCAGTGACTCTTTATTATCATTTTTACACGTAATATTTAATATTAGTTGTCTTATCATATATATATATATATCAAATTGACAAAGAGTAAAATTGTCAATTTTTATTCATTATAATCATAATAGTTCTTTGAAGACAATATATATCTCGATTCTAAATATGAAATGACCTTTCTTTATAAACAGAGTTGTTCAAAAAATTCGGAGATTGATTTTATATAACAAAAATAGGAAATATTGCTGTATTAATATTGTTGTTTATATATAGTAGTTCATACAGTCTTCAATCTATAGACATCATCAACGTTGATATACGGTTTTAGATCAACTTGATATATGAACGATGTATAAGTTTCAAAGTGCAATCGAATGTGATATTTATCATGAACAGATTTTACTAATATATAATTGAGCATATATCATGTATTTTATATACTAAAATTATTCGCTCTTTAAGTCGGTTGACTGCACGAAATGCTCATAGAGTCGACTTATTACTTTTCATTTGCTTAGTTGCCATAACAAATTCTTTTTTCTTCTGAACACATGAGTCATGATTCAATTTATTCACTCGTTTTCAATGCCTGAGCATCATTTTGAATAGAAAAAAAGCTTCACGAGATCCTGAGAATGTGACGAATGCATATCTGAAATCCGCTTTTCGAAATTCTGCGGCGCTCGGAAGATATAAAAAAATGATAATTAACAGCTTATAGTTTCCTTATATGGCTATGCGTGATTCAATCTTAGATGACCATTCATATTTAAGATGTCATATAGATGTGCGTGTGGATAGAAATAAAGACAACAGTCATACCATCAGTTAGAAAAAATATTTAATTTGAATAAGTATATTCAATCAAGTTCATGTTCAGCAGTATTACTATCATAAAATAGATTATCCATTTGTGGTTATATTTGTCAACATATGCGATGAAAAAAACTCTTATGATGGAAAAAGTTAACAGAGCTATGATTCACTACTATGAGAAGAACAAGAAAAGAATCATTTTTTTTTCTTTCTTTCATGTAAAGTACTGCTATTGAGAACTCAATTTGTTATTTGTTTGATTCGACATTTCAAATAATGTTGGGAGTATTTGATATAAATTATCCAAATAAAACAATGTTGTTTACATTTCATTTTGGAATATCTAATAGACTTGTACATCTCATTCAACAACAACTTGATCCTATTTCTTACTTATTTACTTTTGTGGCACATAAAGATAATTTTTCATCAACTCAAAACGAAAATGGTGAATATCTATTGCATCATTAGATATACTTAAACTATTGGATTATCTGTGTATCGATTTATTTTCTTTACATGTTGTAAAATACAGAACTTTAGTTTTATCAAATCCAATCAAAACTGATAATGATAAAAATCGTGTTGTATATCGCATAGAAAATATCATCACTGTAAATAATATTTTTTCTTTGGTCATAATCATTTTCTCTCATCTAATTGTTTTTAATTCACGATTTCGTTATCATACGGTAACAGTAGTGAAAGAATATTGTTATTTATTTTTCTCTACAAAGCAACGGAAATTACTACATTTAAACCAATAAATTGTTCAACATCGTAAGATTGATTCCTTAATGTATTTATACGATGAGGATAAACCACTTCCTCACAATTTTACTGATACATTCGTTTGGAGAGGTGATTATGTGTCAGAAGAAGAATTTTGATACGAATTGTTTATCAACAAGCTCAAATCCAATTTTTTCTGAAATATTCGATCCTACTTATGACATGATAATAAAAAACGAAAATCAACTGACATTTTTCTGTGAGCATTTCTACGGTTTTCTTGTCTATTATATGATGAATATCATTATGATAGTATATGGTTGATTTCTTACCATGAAGACCTACTCATTTATCAAAACAAATAAGAGAGAAAAAATAATAAGAGACAGTCAACTAGATTAGAACGTTCCAGTGAATTACATAAGTGATCTGAAGTCAACGATTTCAAATGTCGATTTGATCCAAAATCTCAAAGATATCGATAAAAAAAATGACTTCGTCATTAATATAATTCGTTGTTTATTTATTTCATATATTATTCATGAGAAATCTTTTTAATTACTGACGCGCATCGATCAAGACATTTGACGCTCGAAATAAAATACTTTTTAATTCTCAGCCTTAACAGTTCATTTCTATTTTAAGGGAAATTATTATCAATCAATACTTTTTAACAGTTCCAAAGAAAACTGTAGCTATTCTGTAATATGAATCTTGAAACGATTTAGAACAACGGGATGTGATTGCGGATGTGGACGTAGATATTTTTGTTCTCTAGATCCCACATCCGACAATCACACCCTCATCCGCGCCCATATCTCACATTCTCACTTTCCTTCGAGCAGCTAAAACGAGCTGCATCTTCGAATCTGCCGTGTTTCTTCTTTGAATTTGAGCAATCTAGCACCACACAGCGGACTCACTTCATTCTTTGAAACTAGAAATATTATTAAAAAGCATTTCGAAGAACAAAAAGTAAACATTCGACATTTATCATTAGTAGGGTGGTCAACTGATCGACTGAAGTTAGGAGTGAACAACAAAGAATGACCAACGTCCATTAATAATATACTTATTAAAATCATTAAACCTAAATATGTTCCAGATTATTTCTCTTTCGTTATTCAGTACGTGCCATGTGGACTAGAAATTAAATTAATGAAGAACGAACTCAAACGTACTATTACATCAGCCGATAATATAAAACAAATTGATTATGCTTATGGACATAAAAGCTTAATCGATCACAGCTCATGACATCGGTAGATCGAGAACTATATGAACTAGAAATAGACAACAATGGTAATGTAGTAGTGCTTCTTTTTGTTTTTAAATAAAATCAGTTTGAAAACTCTTTTGAATAACATTTGTATCGCAGACCATCAAGTTCAAATCTGAGTAGGGCAGTTTCAGTTTAGGGTGTGGATGTTGCTTTTATTCGTACCATCGTCTACACCTACATCCACACACCCAATTAACTCAAGAGTAAAAAATCTTGGTTTGTTTGCTTCTTTCACCTAAATGAAGATTAGTAGTAATAAGTAATTCGTATTCCACTTTTCATTTGTTTCGGTCTTTGGAGTATTCTTATAAAACATTTCAGTCTACTTTCATTGTATTAATGAATGAATACAAAATTAATCATATATGATCTTTCCGTTAGTCATACACGACACTTTCATTGAAATCAAAAGCTATATGAAAATCCAAATCTTGAAATATAGATCAATTTTGATATATTAATCGTCAGAAATGTGCAGCGTTTACAGTATCCAAGAAAAATTTGAACCACGATGACTGAGCATCGGCTTGACCTCCTTCCTCTCTCTTCTTATTTGTCTGCGAGCGACTATTCTTTAGTTATACTAGTTGTTAAACTTATTACTAGAAATTTTTAAAAACGATAGATGCATTAAATAGTGAACAACTAAAAGAAGGAATTTAATCTTTAGCAGGTTCATTCTTTCTGAGATATCATTTGCTTTATTACCCAAGTTCATACTCATTTTGTCCACATATCAATCTAAGGTTTTTATTTTATTTTATTTGACATTATTTATTAGTTTTGTTAATCCCCAGTAAGTTTTTGTATCAAAGAAAGAATTTAAAACACAAAGCACTCAGTGGCTAGAAAATAAAAAATAAAAACAGAAAAAAAAAACTAAAAACAAACATCCATCAACTATTATTCTGTAGGAAGAAAAAAAATTATAATTTTTTTTTTCTTTATGATTTTTCTGATGAACGATAACCATGAACAGTTGTTGTTCTTGCATGATCATCATAAGAACTTTTCATTGGTTGATTTATTATTTTGTTAGCACGATATTTTGCAATAACTTGTAATAATTCTGGACAACTTTGTTTTGATGCTAAATCAACAACATTTTCATTTTTATCATTTAACCAAGATGCATCACCTCCAAGTCTTTAAATAAATTCAATTTATTATGTATTTTTAATAAAAACAAATTTACTTGAGAAGAATTCCTAATGGTTCAATACCATTGGCTCCTAGTAAACAACATTCATGTAATGCTGTATTGCCTCGTCTACGAAACAAAAGAAAATCAATATTTTCTCTAATAAAATAATCTTATAATTTTAGCTTTAAAGTGAAGTTACTCAAATGTTCATTCTGTTTGAATAAGTAAATATGAATTCAACGAGATCTCATCAAAACAGTTTACAGACTGATCCTTAAGACCATCTTCCTCTTGTCTAACGAGGGAACCACCCGAGGTGATAAAAAGCTTTTCGGTCAGGAATATGATGGTTAGGTAGGGCATAGCTAGGAGAGATAAACCCCAAGTTAGTTCGGGCGCAAGTTGCTTCTAGCGTGAGTTATGAAATGTGAAATTTAGGGATAAAAATGAATCAGGGAAGGTTTTCTCCACTATTGTAAGGACAAAACATAGTGTTGTTCGGGCCGATTACGGGGTTTGTAGGGATTCTCTTTCATATGGCTCGAATAACACCATGTTTTGTTCATACAATAGTAGAGTGACTTTTTTCTATAGCTCATAGAAAACGGCGTTTTCTGTCACCGACCAAAAAAATTCACTCTACTATTATACGGACGGAACATAGGGTTATTCGGGCCATATGAAAGAGCATCCTTGATAACCCCCAGATTGGCCCGAACAACACCATGTTTTGCCCGTATAATAGTAGAGTGAATTTTTTGCTGGTTGATAGAAAACGCCGTTTTCTATGAGCTATAGAAAAAAGTCACTCTACTATTATATGGACAAAACATGGTGTTGTTCGAGCCATATGAAAGAGGATCCCTACAAACCCCGTAAGCAGCCCGAACAACACTATGTTTTGTCCTTACAATAGTGGAGAAAACCTTCCCTGATTCATTTTTATACCTAAATTTCACATTTCATAACTCCCGCTAGAAGCAACTTGCGCCCGAACTAACTTGGGGTTTATCACTCCTAGCTATGCCCTACCTAACCATCATATTCCTGA